TAACAAATCCAGGTGCAAGAAATGCCACAGCAATCTCAAGGTTAAAGAAAATAGTGGTGAGGACTCATCATATTCCCATTTTATATCTATTCTGTACTAAGACTGGCTACTTGGAATGCCTATAGCATGTTAAATATACATATTTTATTATTATTTTCTTGCTCAGATAGATACTCAGTGAAAGAGGATAATGGTCCAATCTCCTAAGCAGAGCCACAGAAGAAGATTTTGATTCCCAGGCAAAGAATGTTCAGCTTTAATGGCATTTTTCAGTAATAATGACTTCTGCAGATCTATCAGCAGGAACTGAAAATAAGATACTTGTATAAGGCTGTTGATATATGGTTGGCTTTTATTTTCATGGCACAAGTTTACATGGCTTAAAGGAAACATATTCTGAAGGAATATGTTTCCTAAATTAGTCTTTAACATTACATGAGATATTCTAGTCAGAGCTTTGCTTTGTATGGAGCTAATGTATCAAACTAGGTTAATGATCTAGCCATGATTAAAAACATTAACAAGGTATCACTTTTATTTTTCCTTTAAATCTGGTGAACAGGAAAGCAGTTTCAAAATACCCTACACAAAATGGAAAGAAAATTTGGAAATACACATTAATTTACAATGAAACTATTTCGTTACACCTCTCAAGGGCTTCACAAGTACAGAAAAACCTCCAAGTTATCATATACCAAAAGCGAAACACAGAATTGGTATTTTCATGGGGTATCTACCTTATAATTTCAGGACCTCTGAACTACAGGAAAAAGCCTGATCACCTGAATTTCATATAATCTGAATATTACATAACATCAAGTTTTTCAGAACTGACTGATCTCTTTCTTCAGAAAGCATTTCCTGATCACCTGAATTTCATATAATCTGAATGTTACATAACATCAAGTTTTTCAGAACTGATCTCTTTCTTCAGAAAGCATTCAGATTGTTCAGTAGCTTTTTTTTTTTTTTAAAGTCCCATCCTGAATACTTTGAGTTTGATCCAAAGTCTCTATCTACTTTTAAAATTCTTTATTCTCAAAAACATACAGGGACAATTCCTACCTGAAAGACCAATTACCTGAATATTTAGGCTTTCTCTACACCAGCACCTAAAAATAATTCAAAATTTACCTGTCAGTAAATTATCACATCCCAGGGTTGTGAGGTTCTGTCTAGTTATTTTTTTTTTTTCCTTCCTTGCTTTTTTCTTTCTTCCCATTATGTTTTAATGCCCTGGGATCCGTGTTACTGAATCAGCAGCTTGAGAGGCATATGTTACAGCTCACTGGCAGAACCAATTAGAAAAAAGCAAGCAAAACCAACAAAAAAGCAAATGAATATAATTCCAAATCATTCAGTGCAATGTACATTATACACATCTTCATATTCCAGTTTAATTTCTGGCAAAAATGTAACCATGGAACAAACACTGTCTAATTCACAACTACTTTCACAAACTGTCTGTTATTGAATTCCAGTCCATAGTTGCCTTCTCTGCAAACACTCTCACGGGCTACAAAAAGCATATTCATAGCACAAACAAGTAAAATGTGCTTCTTAATCAAAGTACGTAGAATCTACTTAAATTAATGGCCAATGTTACCTTTTTATTACACTATGTTATAAAAGTACAAATTTATATAAAGTAAACTAATTTTGCAAATAAGCTGCTTTATTCAATGTTGTATAACGTGTTATAAAAATCAACTTTTCATTGCACATTTCCACACAACATGATATTTATTGGTTTCCAGGAATCACCGCATCAAGTTTATATTACTGAACGGCCAAAATCCTTTGTTACTTAATATCCTGAATGGACTGGCCATCAATATTTGGCAACTTGATTTTACTACATGAAAAATTAGAAGTAGACGGGATGAAGGGGTCATTATTCAGATGTCTCACATTCTGTGTCAGAGCATGACAAAGATAACACAACCTGACAGCTGCTCTTTTGCATACAGAAGGCAAAACCACTTGCATATTCCATCCAATTAGGTAAACTTTGTAAGGTGTTACATGAGGTAAAACTAATAGCTTCTATTGAGACCAACCTGACCATTGATAACAGCATTTGAGCTTTAATCCTTTTTGCTTTCTATGTCAGAGCATGACAAAGATAACACAACCTGACAGCTGCTCTTTTGCATACAGAAGGCAAAACCACTTGCATATTCCATCCAATTAGGTAAACTTTGTAAGGTGTTACATGAGGTAAAACTAATAGCTTCTATTGAGACCAACCTGACCATTGATAACAGCATTTGAGCTTCAATCCTCAAAGGCACACCCATGAGGACACCCCGAGATGTGAATGCAATGCTAAAATCTGGCCTTATGCAGAAGAATAGTACTTTTCAGACCTGTACTAAAAACCCCCAAAAGTATCTGTTCCAAGTATCTTCACTTGTGCTTTTTTCATACTGTATGCAGTTAAGATACTCGAATGTGAAGTGCTCCCTGAATTCGTTATACTTCTTCTGGATATGGAATCACATTCATTTTCTATTTGTCTCAGAATAGCAAATCATAATGTATGTGATAAGAGTATGTTGCATATTAAATGCAAAGGGAAAACAAAGAGAATTTGTATTCATCTTATCTGCTTTAAGTATGAAATATTAAGCATCTCCTTAATTCTCCTCTAGTGATTCATAGACTAGAACATGTTTCAGCTGTTGAGAACAGGAAATGAGTCTGCAGGAAAAAACCCCAGCATTCCAGTACTTCTTCAGAATCAGACTGAAAACACCAAACGTTTTGGAAGTACTTACCAAGTATTAGATTGAATTTTTTAAGGATGGGGGAAACAGCAGTTTCTGTAGCAAGCTAAAACGTCAGAACTATCCAACTCACCCTGGTGTCATTCAGACCAATATCAGGACTGTGCTATGTGAAACCTGAGTGGGGCTACAAGAGACACTAATTAAAAACTGTGGAAATACACTGACTGCTCAGAGAACCCCCAAAATGGCGCCTGTAGCAAGAGCTTGTAGCAGGTGCTATGAAAACTTGGTATTGCATTACTACACGACCGGTATGCTCAGGAGAGAGCAGTTTCAATGGTGGAAAAATAGCAGGTCTCTGCAATGGTATTTATAAAAAAATATGTTCTCTTAAATCACTGCCTGAAATCATCATATTGCCTATACCTCTGCATGGTAAAGGCAGCCACCCAAGCGTATCATACCGTTATCATCGTATCATATTGTATCATACCAATTAACTGGTCAGTAAAGGATCTTCTTCCAAAGACCATGCATTGAAACACCATTTTTATTTCTATCAAATCATCCAGGAATGATCAGACAAGACGTTACACTGTCTTAACACGTGATAAGCTTTCCAGAAACACTAAAGGCAGCACACATTTAAAAGGAAAATAAAGAGCAAGACTTCATGTTCAAAGGCTTGCTGGAAAATAAATCAAAGAAAAGTAGCTTAAACAAAACCCTAATCTTTTTTAACGAAATGGATTAGGCAGACAAGTAAGCATATACTACATTTATACAGCAAAAAAACGTTGTTCCACGCCTATATTCTGATTACATTTCTTAAATTAAGCCCTTGTATTCATTTCAATCTGTGAAACTCATATGAGAATGTGTGCATTAATCCGTGCCAACATTTATAATAACAATTAAGTTAATACTAGATTATAATACATCACTTGTACAGACACATTTATATTCTGCCCTGTGGGTTTATGTAACATTGACCAAGAAACTCCTGCCCGTTTTTGGAAAAATATACTCTTGCTTGTAAAAATCTATGTTGAGAGAGTAAAGCGAATAGACTAAACACAACTAAACAACATTGTGATACCAAATCTTTCTGGAAATTCCATAAACAGTAGCCAAACTCTGCCGACCTCACTCCTGTGGAATACTACCCTGAGAAGCAATCACTGTAAAGTCAACCCTGCTAAAAAAACCAAGACTGTGTCAGTAAGACTGAAGGAAAACATAATTTTTCAGTAAATCTAAATCTGCAGGTGTACGTATTCTCCAGTTATGAGGGGTGCATACGAGCAACAGTAGAAATAACATGGGGCAATGGGATTCCAATTAGGAAAAAAAATAATAATTAGGCTTGATAGCACCATAGTTTTAGTAAACATACAGCCTAATTTTGATAGTCTTAAATCCTTTGCTTCCTTAGAGGAGTATTCATTATTCTTAGGCACTTCCTAGGTTCAAATGTGCATGTTCAAGTAGAGGTTTGTGCATATGGCTTGAGTCCTTATCATCTTTATAGTTGTTTGAAACACTGCAATACAGTAACCAAGTTCTGCTTCTGCTCTAACCATCTTTTCTTACTCAGATATTTACACACAACTTTATAGGCAGCCATCATGTAAGGAATGGCACGCAGGATAGTAGAAATAACATGGGGCAATGGGATTCCAATTAGGAAAAAAAATAATAATTAGGCTTGATAGCACCATAGTTTTAGTAAACATACAGCCTAATTTTGATAGTCTTAAATCCTTTGCTTCCTTAGAGGAGTATTCATTATTCTTAGGCACTTCCTAGGTTCAAATGTGCATGTTCAAGTAGAGGTTTGTGCATATGGCTTGAGTCCTTATCATCTTTATAGTTGTTTGAAACACTGCAATACAGTAACCAAGTTCTGCTTCTGCTCTAACCATCTTTTCTTACTCAGATATTTACACACAACTTTATAGGCAGCCATCACGTAAAGAATGGCATGCACAAGGTCAGAAAACATTGTGTGCTTACATACTGCTCTTTTTATTTTGTAGGCAGGTAGAAGGTAAGCCAACTGTGATTAAGTTTGTCTATCATTTCTTATTCAGCCAACTTCAAAAAGTTTATATCAGAATTTCCAAGATTGTCACCTGCCTACACTGGTGTTTTTCAGGGAATTTCCTGATCCAGACGTTAGAGAGCGAAGACATTACTTTCAATTTAACATAGGATGTCTCCTTATATTTTATTCATTTGGATCTGAGCAGGACTTTTCCTTATATCAGAACTTCCAAGATTGTCACCTGCCTACACTGGTGTTTTTCAGGGAATTTCCTGATCCAGACGTTAGAGAGTGAAGACATTACTTTGAATTTAACACAAGATCACTTTCAGCTCTTTATTATGGTCAGGGTAGCAGGAATAAGAATCTCAACTGAAGGGAGGTGAGCTGCTCTGTCACTCCGCTACCTTCCACCATGCCCAAGCAGAACTGACAAAGGAGCTGAAGAGATTCAAACACAGAGGACAAGGTCTAGAGGTAGAGAGATGAAGCACACTGGGATGAAGCCTCGTAGCTACAGGAAGGGTGACAGAAAAGCAGGGAACTGGTGTGACAGGAGAACTGAAATAACTGGCTGAGGAAACTGGAACTGGATGGGAAACAAAGGCCTGACTGGGTTGAGGGGGGTTAACTTGGCTCTTGGAGATCTGAAGGGGAGACTACGAAGTGATAGTTGGTAAGTTAGTGGGATGACTAAGAAGTGATACGGAACAAGAACAGAGACTAAAAACTAGTGGGAATGACCAAGAAAAGGGGGGTGAGGCACAAAGACATCATGTGGCATAAGGATGTAAGGGAAGTGGAACTGAAGGACTGCAGGGGGTTGGAGAAGACGGTGGCAGAGCGAGGAAGTACAGTCTGATAGTTAAAGACACCAAAAACTATGCAAGGTGATGAAATCCTATCCCTGCATTGGTAGGCAAGTAACTTCTACCATTAATGTAACGTTTAATTGTGCATTCTATATTTTTGAGACATTTACTTCCCATACTCTATTTCAAATTTTGAAGATCCAGAGCCCCAGCAGAAGACACCTTACTATGTTTTGAACTATTTTAGTACTGTGTAAGGTGAACTGTTTTCAAAATTCAGGTCCCAGGCATCTTAAAAAGAGATTTGTTTCCTACCCCTCACCTTTCTGTGACTGGCAGAATCCTGCTAAAACGTTACAGAGTGCTGAGGGAAAAGAACATCTTCCACACTGCGCTTTTTTCCGGAGATAGCAACTGCAGTGCGTGTCAGAGGTGCCCGTTTCTGAGTAACTCTGATAACAGCTGGCAACACAAGGCTTTGGAGGAAACTCTTAACTGCTCCCCTGAGAATACAGGTCCAGACATAACTACGTTGATAGTATTTAATAGCTTTTCAAGACAAAATGACCCCCACGATTATCTTGCCTGACTTTCTGCGCAACACAAACCATTGAATTGCACTGGGCTCCCAAAGTTTGGTCAGAACAGATATATTCCTAGCGCACAGCTACACATATGCTGACAGCTGTTTTCCTTCCTGTATTTTCTAATGCATCTTTTGTTCTCAATAACTCTCTTAATGTAGATAAAATCATCTGACTGGGAACCTGGGACCATACAAAAAACCCTGTAAAGACATTAGTGTCTACAACTTAAAAATAAATCCCACGGCTTGAAGGACAAATATTCTTATACAAACTTTCCAACACATTAACTGTGAAATCCTAGAGACCTTGGCCAAGAGTTTCACTGAATGAAATCCCAGTTATCTTTTAACACAGTTAAACCAATTACAGTAATTTAATAACTAAGAAATAAAGGGAGAGATTTGGAGAAACTATTATTTATGGAAGAAGAAAACTCGTTTTCTCTGTGAGGGTGACCAAGCACCGGTACAGGTTGCCCAGAGAGGTTCTGGAATCTCCATCCCTTGGAGATATTCCAAAGTAATCTGGACATAGAGCCCCCTGGGCAGCTGGCTCTGAGTGACCCTGCCTGAGCAGCCAGCTTGGACAAGGAGACCTCCAGAGGTCCCTTCTGCAACACCTGAGAGATTTAACCTTTCCCCACCGACTGCTGCAAGAACTGAGGTCAGCTGAGGTGCCTTCTTTTGCAGCTCTAGACCGAAATACTTCCTGAAAAGTAACTGAAGCAGTGCAAAGTGCTTGTTAATTTTCTCTTGTAGTTATTATTTACATCTATGCTTATGGAGATGTATAATATCACTGCAAGTAAATTAGTGTTTGTACAACGTTTTGAAGATAAGGCATTTGTGTATTTGTGTGTTTGCATATTCACACAGATACTCTACATCAAAATAGGCTTGTTTTTCTTGGAAGATAAAAGCAATTTGCTGCCTTTTTTAAGGTTAGTACTCAAAATCCAGCTCCCAGGTACTTATTATTCATTTGAGTTGATTGTACTTTAGCTTCTTTATGGACTCTTTAAAATATGCACTAATAAAATCTTATTAGCTTTTTATTATCAACTGTCTCAACATACAAATATTGCAAGCTGCAGGGATTTTCTGGTCACTGTGAACACGACTCTAGATTACTTAGTAATCAATGCATTTGTTATACTGTCTCTGGCAGTTGATGTTTCTGAAAAGGTAAATTTTTAGTATCATTCAGGCAATTTGCAAACATACTTCTGCCTTTAAGGACGCTCCATTTCTTTCTATACAATATAGGAATGTATTCAATATCAGTAAGATACTATGATTTACTATCACCTTCCTTTGGCAGATGTTCCAGAGCTGGATGGGCAAAAACTCCATGTTAGAAACACACCAGGTATTTAGGACCGTAACTTGCTATAAATTCTTTGAAGTCAATACGTAGGATTTAAAAATCAATGGGAGGACATGGCACAAAAGTGCCTCTTCCGAAGCTATAATGGCCCAAATACTATCACTGAGCACTTGTATGTAAGAGCTGAACATTTGAAATAAAAGGCTAGAGATCCAGAAGTGTGAGATGACATTGAAATCAATACATTTAAGTCCATACATCTGATTAATCTCACCAACAAGAATCTATGATTGTCTCTAGAAGAGACAGACATTTACAATAGCAGGGCTTTTTATGGTGGAGTACTTTGCAGTCTGCTATTTTCAAAGTGGCTAGAGGAGGACATTAGTGAGAAAACAAGATAAATGTTTTAGTGAGGAATTACATGGTTGAAAAATCATACGTACCCTTCCCAACTGATTTTGCCTGAGTACACTCCGTTTATATTAGAGGTGGTTTTGGTGGAACACACATACTGAGGAAGCAGTTATTAAATTCTCCTGGCAAAGTTAAAGGAGTTAAAGTTAAATCTATTTTTGGTCTCTTAATGGCACCTGACCTTTTATCATTTAAGACCACAGACATTGGCTCCACAGCGAGTCCCCAGTCTAAAGAAAATATGTTACTAAACAGTTAGAAGAGCAGTCCCTAGTAGGAAATACAATTCAGATGTAGTGTGCACTGTACATCCCAAAACTCTATCCCAAAATAAACATAGAACTCAAATGTGGTCATTTCAACCATTTAAGTATTACAATAATAAAAACTATAGAAACAAGGGGATGACCCAACATTGTAGTATAAGAAAAAAATGTTACTTTTCAGCAGTCAAATTCTCTCTGCAATTAACAGAATTGATACCAGCATTATCAAAAGAATAATTATATGCTCTTGCTTATCAGGTGCCAATTAAAGACAGGAGATAATTATGTCTAAATTCATGCAGTTGTGCTGACTATGTTGAACATATCCCTCCTTCAGTTGTAGTTTTACAAGTCCATAGCCCCGCCTCTGGTCACACTCAGGATGCTTTTGCCCATGAAACATAACAAAAACTTGCAAAGAAATGTAGCAAGAACATAACTGTACGTGCCCAGTCCTGGGTCACTGCTAAGAGAGGCCCATTTGCCAAGGGCTTTTGGAAACAGAAACCCAGATCCATAAACAACTCCCATTTCCTCCTATGTGAACATGCACTTTAACAAGTCTTTCACCAAATTGTACATTTTGAAATTTTCCATAAGGCATTTTTTTTACATTAATACAGATATTTTTTCCATTTTTATTGTAACCTGAAATGTTTCTGTAATGTTTCTGTGGCAAACTGGGTAACAACACATTTAATGTTTCCATCAAATAAATTATATTTCAATTCTAAGTATCTATATAAAGCTAACTTTTTAAGCTCTAACCCCAGAATCATCTGAGATTGTAAAACTCTAAACCCAATAGGGCTTAATAATTTCACCTGTTTATATTATTAAGACCTGCAATTCTTTCTCAACCGTGTATATTAACCCCTTAGAGGTTAGGAGACACTGAACCTCCTGCTCCTTTCATTCACAGATTACTTCAGGCCAACAAGGTAATGGGGTGATTACAGCCTTTGTACAAGGCTTCCACCAGTGCCAAACAGATCTGAGTTCTAGCCCTGCAACACGCTGTGTCACCTTGTGCCTTCGGAGGTGAATTCCTGGTTCTGCAGCAGAGAGCAAATTGACGTCTTCCTTGTGCTTTTTTGACCATAATCCTATATTCCGGGCACTGCTGATGGAATGATCCAGCCTGGACCAGTGGGTGGTGTGCCTGAGTGCTGGAGTCCCAAAAATGCTCCCAGAACACTGAGGTCTCATTATCATTTACTGGTGTCTGGAAATTTTGGGAGACCTTGAAGTGGGCCAGGTTGGTAATGTTTAAGGTTATAAAGCCTGTAGCCTTAAAAGACTAGGCTTTTTTTTGATTTAACGTACAGAATCAAAGTATTTTTGTACAAGTGTAACTACCGCTTCAAACTTCTCAAATCATTTGAAATCATCACCAAAATGTTCTCTCCAAAAATCACTAGAGAAAACAACTCTTTTTCATACAGAAATGGACTAATCAAAGTTTATCTGTATTCTCAGAATTGAGGTATTTATTGCTCCACAGGAGTAAAGATGTTGGATTGCACTGGTGAGGGTGTTGGGTGCATTTCCTGATTAACTCCGGTGCTGGATACCCAAGGAAACGCCACATCCTTCAACTACTTACTCTGAAAGGAGTAAGGGAGATGAGTTTGCTGAGGAGGTTAAAAACCATCAGAGTATATTTAAGTCACATTTTTCTGACAGAGCAGGCCTGGCAAGTTCACCTGGGTATAACAGCTGGGGTGTCTCAGAACCAGGTCTTCAGCATATTGCAGGTACTTCGCAAGATTGAGCTTTTAGTCATAAAAATATATTTTACATATAAAAATACAGCAGATGTCCTTCTAAAAAATCACATCTTAAGTGTTATTCCCTCTCATTATGTTTTATACATTCAGAAACAGACATTTGAGAGATACCGTGAACAGTGCAAAAGACTGTTTTATATTTCTAAAACCACGCGTTGCGGTACCTTGAAGAGCCAACTGAAAGAAAAGTTTGAGAAAGGTTTCATCCTCAGAGAAATGCTGGTCCGAGTCGAACTTTTGTTTCATGAGTTGTAAACAAACGTCTTAGGATGCAGCCAATCCTCTCATTTCTTCCCAGCCAAGGTAGGCTCAAACAGATCCAGTCCTGCTTTGAAGTAAACCTGAGCTGAATTGATGCTGCTCAGCACCTCCGACAAGGCTGCCTCAACGGTCTCGTTTGACTGATGCAGTTTGTGGTGCTCCAGTGCCTCCAGCAGTACCGAGAACCGGCTCGTCCTTTCATCTAGTCTGTAAAGAATATTTCTAAAAGAGAACAATGGAGAACGGTGAGCTTTTTGCTCAAAACAATTCATCCGAAATCATCGAGAAACTCCGCGAGCATCAGCCACGCTCTGCAGATGATACGGATTATGCACAGCAAAGGTGACCCATGGGAGACTGAAGGACAACTGCATATTTATTAGGGCTTTGTAAAATGCATCTGTGCCTTGATCTAGGTGTACGCACACTGAAACGTTCACAGAATCCCTCAAAGAAATCTCACATTCCTCTTTGACCATTCAAGATTTTATTCAAAATCATGAGCCCAGACCTATCACACCCCTCATGAAGTATTTCATGCCTCATCTGGATTCCATTTATTCCCCTCTAAAAAAAGTTTGGTTATTACTGTGGACCTCAGGCATGGATTTTTTTATTTTTTTTTCCTATCTGCTCCTGTTATTTATTTCACACTTCAGAGGTGAAATTCTAGCTGCGTTGAAGTCAATGGTAAAACTCGCATTGCCTTCAGCAGAGCCTTTATTTCATCAATAATCCTTTGTGGCATCAGAACAAGAGCAACCCATCTTTAATGTCACATGCTTGAGGAAGGAAATAAATGGAAGCAACAGCTAAACCCTTATGAAACAAAATCTGTGTTTTCCTATAATATCTTGCAAGACTTAATGGTTTCTATAAAAACACACGCGAAGGTAATGTCTGATCCCTTGGAAATGTTATCTGTGTAAGGGGCTGAAGGCTCAGAATTCAGAGCCTCGTCAGCAATTTCAATGAGACTCTTTGAAGCAGGCTATAAATATTATCTAAAAAAGGTGTAATCATTATCCTAATTAGAAGAGCATGTAAATATCACAAATCTCTGCCCAGGAGCGCCTTTGATTGTAAACACAAGTGATTGAAATTGGAAACAGGAAAGCTACACGTGATTTGGTGCAGGACCTTATCCTGAAATAGAAGGTAGGTGTTCGGGGCAGGGGAGAAGTTGTTTCACAGAACGAAACCAGCAGGAGAGCTGGAATGACAGCTGAGACACTGTGGTAGTAACCTCACTGCATGACACAACAGGCTCGACGGCAACTCAAAACTCAGAATAAAACTGACAAGTACCTGCAATCGAGGTGACCACAGAAGTGTATCTCATTATGAGTCATCTAATTGCCAGTCTTGAAGAGGGAATGGAACAAAGTAGCCCAAGAAATGGCACCACAGAACACCTACAATCTTCTCCCATGTTTTCCAGTTTCAAAAAAAACTCTGAATGAGGGGTGATGATTTTCAAAGATAAGAAATAACTCCTATCCCCATAAGACAATTTTCCAGTCTATGTTTTTACCCTCCTATACTGGGTAAGACCATCCAAACCCAGCAATCTGTGATAGGAACAGTAAGCAAAATGTTCCCTGACAGCAGGACATCTACCCACATCAAGTGCTCTGCAATGCAATACCCGGCAGTGTTAAACAGAAGAGGGACACAGTTCATACCCAACCCCGCAGCAGAAGGACAGCTGACAGAGTTTAAAGAGTAGGTCATCACTGACCTCGATCACTTAGACTGAAACAGGTGAGGAGCACGTGCAGGAACAGCTCAGTAGGGAAAGAAACCTCCATCAAGAGGAGAGTGACAAGCAGATGTGGCAGTAACTTCAGCTTGTCAGAGGAGGACAACTGCCTGCTTCCTCGCTGATGCTGCTGCTCCTTCAGACTATGCAGCAACTTCTGCTCAAAGATGACTAAAGTTATATTATGGACTGTCCCTAAAGAGTCTCTGTGATACAGTAAATGAAAACGGTGTATGTTGCGAACCAGATAAATTCTGGGTTGGTTGGTTATTAAGGACAGGCTGTGCTACGGGAAATACTGTCGTTTTCAAAGCAGGGATTGATTTTGCTCCCTCTGAAATCAATTCAGGGACTCCTGCCGAGATCAGCCTGAGCAGAACCAGGCTTCTGAAGAACTCTCCTCTACAGTTCCTGTAGTTCACAGGGAGACAGAAGCCTGCTCACAACCCCACAAGGCCCTTGAAGAACAGGGGCAATGCTAGAGATAATCACATTTATTTCTACTCTCTGGAGGCAGTGCTGTCTGGTTGCTGGTGGCCGGGAGAGTTTGGCTGAGCTAGAATTCTGCTCCCAATGCCTACAACACTGGCAGCTTGATCTGTATTTCGATCCCTCTATTCCTTTACTGGGGGTAATGTCTATGAATAAAAATGCCATAAGACAACAGCCATCAGCAGAGCAACACTAACCTAGACTGCTAGAAATCAGACTCTAAAGCCAGAATGACCTGAAGACTGGAACATCTGGGGACTGCTGAGAAAACGTTTGTAGTGAATAGGAACAGATCTTCTCCTATCCCACCTTCAAATGTGCTCTAAACGTGGAATACAGGCTGAAAAAATGGTTTATCTTGACATACAAAGGTGGTATCACAGTTTAACTCCACTGCTGGGATTTTGGAATCACAGGTGATTCCACAGTCAATCCACAGGCAGGTAAAAGGCACTGAAAAGCACAAATATTCCTGGCACATCCCACCTGGCTACAGCACAAATCAACATCTTAGCTGTTTGATGAATTCTATGTATGCAAATAATAAGAAGTAACAGTATATGGCACCTGTTTTTTTTCAGATTTTCTGCTAGAAATTCTCACCAGGGTCTTATATTTTCCAATTACTTATCTTTCCTTGACAAGCCATGCCACCCCTTTGTTGTATAAAATGATTTCTCTCTTTATGCATGTTCATGAGAGTCAATTTATACAATTTTACTTCTTATCTCTGTCCAAGCTTCATCAAATGAAAAAAAATGGCTAGTCCAGTTTATTACTTCCAAACCTTTACAAGTCAGAAAAGTGTTTTCATTTAAGATTACACACGGACTGAAAAATAAACCCCAGCCATTTCATTGGCACAAGATATCACTATGTGACCACAACATGCATAATGATAACCAAGAGACTTTAATTTACACTGTGAAATTCAATTACTTAAGCATTCCTTAATACAAATTGGTTTTGTAGCCTACACCTCTAAAACAACAATCCCAGCCTCTGGCCTAATTGCTTAAGTATCTACCTTCATCTTTAACTATTTTGATCTTATAAATATCATTCACACAGTCAGCCTGACCCACAAAACAAAAAGAGTTTCCTAAACAGAAAAGCGCAATACATTAGAGATGACACTAATGAAATTACAACACACATCCTTCATCTTAATGGACTTGTTTCAACGACACATCACAGTGCCCTGAAAAGTGTAACGCTGAAGTAGGAAACCTAATTAACAACTTCAGGCAGTACCACTGAAAGAGCTAAAATGGCTCCAAACAAATGAATCAGCCTTAGTAAACTAAAGCAAAGAAAGTACAAAAATGAATTCTGAAAGAACCTTTTCTATAACTTTTGAGCCCTTTGCAGGCCTAGGAACGGAAGCATAATTGATTGAAATAATATTAGTGTTAAATGCTGCTTTACCTTATCACAAAACGGACCAGACAAATTCTTGAATGACAGATCACACTAAAAATACCTTGATTTTAACACAACTTCAAACTATTCTGCAGATTATATTACAACAACCGGACAGTACAAGATAAAATGAGATTACTACATTAGTCTTGTCATGAAAAGGGAATTTTTTAGCTTACAAGAAAAGTTTGTGTGTAGGTAATGTACAACACAAGCTGAATTATTCAGGTACTTACAAACAGCCTCCTGTATTAGAGCTTACGTTTGAGATTTTGAAAAGGAATTATTAAATCATTAGGACACGCTGGCAAGTGCACAGTCCCGCAGAAAACGAGCGCAGGTTTTCTCTGGGGAATCACATTAGAATTGTTCACAGATAAATGCTGTGGGCAGCCTCTGTCTATTCCAGTTTAACAAAATGTGCTGTGACTAGACCTGCTTCAGCAGCCTCACAAATTCAATTTTACAAACCTCGCATCATTTTTTTCTTGTAGTCTCCAAGAAAAAAAGAGCACCAGAATGGGTATTCTCTGCATTTCCCTTTTTCTTGATAACATTCAGTTTGGAATGCACTTTTGTTATATCTAGGAGTTTGTGTATTCTCTGCATTTCCCTTTTTCTTGATAACATTCGGTTTTGAATGCACTTTTGTTATATCCAGGAGTTTGTTTCATTCATGTTTGTAAAATATAAAACGTTATTAAATCTGGCAAATACATAAATGCATTCTAATAATAGTATTTCCATGTTGGGACTTCCAGTTCCACAGGGTGTTTATTTATTGTGGAACATAAAAATATTATGAATTCTTCTCCTCGAGAAAGTGCACGAGCTGATTTATACTAGTTTATTTACACTAGTTTTTACCCCAGAAGATTTTATGCTGAAGGTACAGAAATCTTCCCTTCATCCTCTGGGTGCCTTATCCTTCTGATCTCCAATGGGGCTTCTCCTTTCCTCCCTTTATTTTTTAAACTTCTTTGACACTCGCACGCAGTTATTTTCTCTTACCTATTTTATGTCACAGCTCTATTGTGGCAGAAGGTTTATAATTATAAAATTCGAGCTGCTAGCCATAAACAGAAAGTAATACATTGAAATGGTATGTACACTCAAAGGTGAAAGTCAGCTGGAAAGGCAGATATTTGCAGAGTATCAGCAGTCGATAAGCTACAGGTAATCCAGACATCAAACCTCAATAAAGTCTGACCAACTGAAAGGCATTTCAAAGGCATTTTTATGTGACAGTGGTAAACCAGATCAATTCCGTCCCTGCCAGATGGAAATTCAGCTTGTGTAAGAGACAGGAGTTAGGACACCTCTAATTGAGTCAATTTTGGCAAACGGAGGTTATGGTAAGTCTGCATTTAACAAAATCCTGTTGGGACGTGGGACTATAAGGAGATAATTATTCCAAGTCTGAATTCATTGCTGAGAGGCCAATTTAAAATAGGGCTTGTTAAAAAAATAAATCCTGGTTTTGGCAGCTCCGTGGAGTGTCTTGAGGCTTGGTTTGGCTTGATTGGCTGCCAAATAAACAAAGGGA